TTTTTTTTTTTGTTTAAAAACTTTAGACAAGCTTTTGGTGTTGCCTCTGCTCAGGATAGAGTTCGCAATTTAATAACCTTGTTGTGTTACAAACCCTGAGACTTCGCGACTCCTGCACTAGTCCATCTGCCAAGCAGAGAGCATTTCTTGACCTTTTAAAGAAAGCCAGAGATAATGAACCATTTGGACCGTAGGATGCCCGAGCTGCTTGGAATAAAATCAGCGTGGCTGTGAATTTTGGAGAGGAACAAACGTGGAGCTCCGAGCCAGCAGTGCGGGCTGAGGGTTCGCAGTGATCTCCGACTGCAGTAACAGCCATAAACTCCTTTAAAACAGTTAATAAATCAGAAGACATGGGCAGAGAGAGATCTGGGCTTCACAAGGGCTTGACAAAGTGTCTTGAAGTGTCCGGCGAGGGAGGATTTGACTGGCTGCCATTGGGTTAGAGCTTGTAACTAGCGATTTTCTCCTTCAAAGATCTTGTCGGCTCTTGAGAAATGCAAATCCTGCAGAGGCTGGTGCTTGTTGGGGGGAGCTGGATGTCAGACGCTGCTGTCCCTGTTATTGATGGCATTGGAAACGTGCAGTGTGCGCCACGAGTTCTGCACTGTGGGTGCTGGAGGTCCAATGGTGAAAGATCAGTATTTTCTGTTATGAGTTTTAGTTCTCTGAAAATGGAAACCTGAATTTTTGCAGCTTCACGGGTGTTGTCCCAAGTCAGGTGTCCCATCTTAGGCTGGAAATGTCCCCTGGGGAGTACCACTCTCCCCTGCTAGTGAAAGGGCCCTTGAGCATCTCAGACAATGTGGTTGGGGAGTGGAGACTGAGCACCCAAATCATCCTTCCCGTGGCTGACCACAGCAGTGCTTCACATGGACATCCCCTGACCTAACCCTGAAACTTCTGGGTCCAGCTCCCGTGGACTTGGTGCCGAGCAGCAGTCAGGGCTCTGCTGGTGTCCCTGAGGGCTCCTGTGGAGAATGAGAGGACCGTGGCTCTCTGGTCCTTTCTGGAAGCCAGCAGATGTTCATGGATGATCCTTTCTGATGAGAGACCTCCTCAGGTCTCTCCTGTTGCCTGGGTGGTTGCACCAGGGCTGTGATTTTCCTGCCTCCTGCGTGTGGTCGCTCACGCCAGTGCTTTCTGCTTAGCCCAAGTGGGTTTGTTCTTTTCAGCTGCTGGTTGTTACTGTGTCCCTTTTCCTTAACATTTTCCACAGTATTTCCATCTCTGCAGCAAGTCTGGCACAGGACCTCCTGCCTGGCTCTTCTGTTTCTCTGCCTGCTGTGGCTGGATGGTGTTCCCAGGTCCAAGGTGCAGACCCAGTGGACATGAACAGGGACACACACACGTGCACACGTGTGCAAACTGGCACAGGATGGGACACACACACACGTGCACACGTGTGCAAACTGGCACAGGATGGCCCTGGCAGGCTGGCACAGACTCTGCTTCCAATACCTCCTTTCCATCACATCCAACTTGGTTCCAGCAGAAAGGACGTAGAAAGCTTTTTGGGTGGAGCAGGAGAAGGGATGGCTAATGAGGGGACGGCTAACGAAGGGACAACTAACGCACTCCAGCCCTTGCTTCGCTGGTGCCAGGGAGAAATGCAGGATTAATTGCTTCAAAACATCACTGAGGATACGTGTGTTCTTCCTGTGCTGGGAAACCAGAGCCAGAGCCTTGGTCTGTAACTCTTTTAGGGGAAGATGACATAGTTGCTCTCGATTAAACCATTAGTTTAATGTTGATTAAACCATGGGTAAATTATTCATGCGTCTGGCTATTCATATGATGCATAAGGCTTTTATTTTAATGGGATGGGTTGCCAGGCCTGGTATTAAAAACTTGTTGTTGTGCTCACTAGCAACTAGCGTGGCAAAAATAAACAAATAGGATGCTAAGGGAAGGGCTTTTGACAGTAACACTGTAGCATGAGTGGAGCTGTCATTTCAACTGAAATAGCATTAGGTTTATGGTGATTTTTTAGCCACAGATCTCATGTCATAGCCTGCTTTCCTGCCAAGGAAACATGGGCAGGCTTGCTCTCCTCTGATGGGGGTTCCCAAAGTGTTGCAGAATGTGGCCACCGCTGTGGTTGTGGCGAAGAGCCAGGAAGGACGGTCGCTTAGTGCCATAATAAGCAATCATTTAGTTCAGGGAAACCTCCAAAGTCAACGCTCATAAGAAAAATCCCGGGACTTGTTTGGCGTCTGGCAGAGAAGATGAAACACCAGGCTGAAGGGATTTCTCCGAGAGGTCTTCCACTCTCCATACAGGCTTTGCTTCTTTCCTTCAAAGTTGAAAAGCTTGGCACGTGTGTAATGCACCCCACGCTACTGGAGGCCTGGTTTTACTGGTCGCTAAAGGGTCTTCTTGTTGCCATCATTTTCAGGAATAAAGCATAGACATGAGACACGGATGTGCATGAGTCTGCCCTGATGCCCAGGCTGGTTCCAGTCCTGGGATCAAGGGTGGTTGGGTCAGAGCAGCATCCTCAGTGCTGGTGACCTGCAGAGCAGCATGTTGATGGAGCACTTTGCGTTTACCTGCACCTCCCTCCTTTGCCATGCAAAAGCTGAGGGTCAGGAAGGAAGGGAAGGCAGGACCAAATACCCTGCCGGGGGTGGCCATGGCCATGCTGTGCTCCGTGGCTTCATGCAAAGCTGCTGGGGGGCCGGGGAGGTGGGTGATGGTGCTGGCTCCCACCTGCATTACGTTCCTGGGCTGCACTGGGGTGGTGCTGCTGGTGGAGGGGAGACGATGAGCCCTGAGGGGATGGGGCACGTTGTGGGGTGTCCTCTCACCCCAGCATGGCTCTGCCTCCATGCCTTCCCAGGCTACTGGTTTCTAACACTCCTCTTCAGGGTGCCGAGGCAGGTTGGACACTTATGTTGTCTTTATTATTGATCTATAGACTGATCGGTGAATCCTGCTGACCAGGTGAAGATCTACATCTTGAGATACATATGGGCTGTGGCTTGATTTCACTCAGCCTGGGTGGACTTGTTGGGTAGCAGGGGGTGTTTCCTAAAGTATGTGCTACCAGAAGAGTTTTGAGGGCCTGATGGGGCCCTCAAAAGTGAGTGAAAGACATCTTCCTATGCCCACTGCTCATCTGTCAAGCTCAATGTACTCCTCAAGGTCATTTTTCAGGCCAGCCGTTCTTGGGGGCAGAGTCAGGACTCAAAGCTGTGGCTTGCTCCAGCTGAGGGTCACTCAAGACTTGGGGGAGTCTCATCCCCAAGAGCTGGAGGTGCTGGAAGGAGGATTGGGCTGGTTGAGAGTCCTGCACCTCTTATGGCTCCTCACCTGGCAGCCCCAAAGGTTTAACTGATGTCCCACCAGCCTTGTTTTCCCACTCCCCGGATCCCAGCCGAGAGGCTGAACACCAGTCGGGGTCTCTCCCATTGCCTTATTTCAAATAACTTTTCTCCCCCTCTGCCAGAGTTGAGTTTCCTTGCTTGAGTCCCACCAGGATGTAACTCCTGACCCCGGATCTCATCGCCAAGCGCGGACAGCGAGAGCCGTCATCCCCCGGGGCCGATGGAGGGGTTTATAAAGCCCTGCATCTTCCTTGGGCCATCGCTGCTGGGGGGAGGGAGGACACGAAGGAGCTCCCGTGTGGGTGCCTGTAATAGGAACGGTGCCTGGGGAGGCATTTGGTCCTCATTAGCAGAAGCTCGGTAGCTGTTTTGTCATTTTTCTTGTTTGTCATAAAAAATAAATACAGTTTAATAGATGATCTTACAGAGCAGGTTTTGGCAACAAAATAGATCGTGTCCCATTATAAACTTGATGTGTATAATTTAAAGCAAGATGGAATATAAAACCATTTCCAGCTCAGATGAGAGAGAGGGAGACACAGATTTAGGTCTTGATTGTGCTGAAATGAAAAACAGCACTTTCTCGGATAGTGTATTAAATCAGGCATCCTGTTTTATGGAGTCCAAACTATAAACAGCTTTTTTTTCAGAATAATTAATCACATCATTTATTTTTTGGTTTGAAAAGTTTGGGGAGGGGGGTTCTTTTGTTTCTTTGTGTATTTTTAGAGGTATCATCTGCAAAAGAGCAGCCCTCAGCACCGAAGGAGATGACTTGGAGACCAGGGTGGACTTCAAGGGGATGTTCCTGTCAAAATCCCATCCGTTATCAGAGATTTAAGAAAAGCCCTGAGGAGCTCTTGGGAATGCCATGCCTGATGGGGAAGGCTGGGCTCTGGAGCCGAGGGCGGTGGGAAGGTGAGTGGAAGGGGCAGGGATGCAGCTGGAGATGCACTGACCATCTCTGCTTTCCCAGATCAGTGTGAAGAGTGGCTTACTGGGGACTGGGGGGCTGGTGGGGGTGTCCATTAAGCAGAGGGTGCTCCTTGCTGGTCTGCAGCACGCTTGCCTTCCATCCAATTTGGAAAAAACCCACCCGTCGCTCTTCATTAAACTGAGCTGTTAATTCTTACGGGGCTGAGAAATGGGACAGTTTCTGCCATCGGCACTGTCTCCATCACCCCGCAGAGCTAGGAGCAGAGGACACTCTCCCCTACCTCTGTAAATCATCACAGCTGGAGCTGGAAGAGGGACACGGATTTCTGCCAAGGAAGGAGGGGGATCCAGAGCGCGTTTCCTCCATCCTCCCGTCGGTGAAGAACCGCAGCTCCTCTGGTTTCGGGGCGACGGGGCTGGCTTGTCTCCGTCTGCTCTGGCTGCTCCCTCCCCATTTCAGCAGAGCCAGCGTAAATCCAAAACAGCTCTGGGGAAGTCAGTCGTGTTCCTGGAGACTCAAGGCTAGAGGAGATAGGAAACTATTCACAGCTTGTATGTAGCTGTCGACATTATATATAAAAAGCTGGCTGAGTTCAGCAACAATGTGCTATAGGCAGGGCGCTAATCTCTGTTGTTATTAAGTTTCCTGACATTTCCCATTATCGGAGCTTCTTTGCAGTTGTTTATAGGACTGCAAAACTTTAATCTTTTCACTTGAAATGCATCACCCATGTACCATCCGTGACACAGGTAGTGCCACCGGCTGAAATTCTGCCTTTTCTCGATTTTTCTTAGGAGCCGGGAAGCTGCGCAAACCCCAGCTGAGTTAAAAATAGCAATTGATAAAGCTGCAAAGTCTCGCACCTCGGAGGAGTTCAAGCCAGCATTCCTCCTGCCTGAGCAACCCTCGCCTGTGCCGTGCTGTCACTTGTGCCATGCTGTCACTTGTGCCATGCTACGAACGCGGGCATGGGATTTAAAACACAATTTCATGCTGCTTTCCCCACTCCTGGGACCCCTCGGGGTCAGGAGGAGCTGAGCTGGGGTGAAGGCACATCTAGGAGATGCAAAGGTAGGACCCCGTTCTCCAGGGCCAGCAGCATCTTGTCTTAACCACTCTAGGTGGGTCCATCTACTCATTCCTGGCAATGAATAACCCACCAAGTCCTGTAGGAAACATACCCTGTGTCTGCAGCAAGAGGTTACACACCAATGTGCATGTGCAAGAAGGTAAACCAATCTCTTTTTTTTTTTTGAGCTGGAAAGTGGCATGTTTTACTGGAAAACCAAACCAGTTTGCTTTGGCCGTGGTGCCGCCCTTCCTCATGGCAGCTGTACTCCTGCTGCCATTCCCTGGTAGGGGTACGTCGTGCTGGAGGTGTTGTGGCAACATGTTGGAGCTGAAACGTATCGGCTTCCTGCCAAAATAATTCACTTAGGTTTGTTTGGCTTTTTTTTTTTTTTTTTATTTTCCGATGAAAAATCAAAATTTCCTCTGCAAAATGAGACATGATTTCAGTGGGGGAGGATGGAGTGGTGGTGGTGGTGCGGGAAGAGGAAATAACTTTATTTAAAAAAAAAAAAGAAAAAACAACCAACCTAAAAATGACTTTTCCTTTGCAAAATAAATTTCATGACACATTTTTCTAGCAGCACTAATTTTGAACAGTATTAGCAGTTTGGTGCCAGCCCGATGAGCGCTGGAGCGGCTCACATTCCTGTAGGAAAGAGGTATAAATCCTCCTACCAAGTCTGAGGCTGGCCATGGGCCTTTCTCGCTGGGACTGTTGGGGACCAAGGTACCCTCCATGTGGAGGCTGGAGAGGAGAACATCCCAGTGGGATCAGCTGTGGTCTTCTCACAGCTCTATCAGAAATACAAACCCTGCAATGAGCCGTTCAAGCATAGAAACGCATTTTGGCTCTCAGCTGGTAAAATAGTTGTGTGAATAGACAGAGAGGTTAGTGGTGGGATTAGATAACAGTCTCATCTGGAAAGAAATTGTTCCTGAAGGGTCTGCTTTGGGCTTCCACACGTTGTCTTGCATCTGCTCAGGACTGGCCACCTCCACTCACCAAAGATGCACGTGGAGTTGGAGGACAGTGGGGAAGGATGATGGAAAGGAATTCAGTTCCTGGCTCCACGCTACACTTTGTCTTGCCCAAATGTTGACCTCCTTGTGCCACCAGCAAGGCAAGGGCCACTGTGGGGTCCAGGGGTGGGACCTCCCTGGACCTATTTGTGTTTTATTGATAAACCCAAAGAGGGCTGCAGGTTCCGGATGCCGTTGCAGCTGAGGGATGTGTGTGCTTTGAGCCTCTGTGAGCTCTGGCCATTCCTCATCCCCCCCACCCAAAGAGAAAAAAACCCGCAATTTTCAGGACATAAAGAGGAGAAAAGGTTTCAGTGCTCGCTGGTTTGTTTGAAGCAAACAGATCAATAACGCTTGATACATAACTAAATAAAACCAAGCCAGACCCCAGCATGCTGGATCTCCAGGGATCTATTTTGTGGCTGAAAAGGTGGCTTTGCTCCTTGAAAATGGCACTGACTCTTTTCCCTCTTCTGTGGGTAGTAAGGGAAAGAAATGGGAACTTTTATCTTCTGTTCTTCTTTGTGGTTTGACTTGGCTTTTGTTGAATGACACCCTGAGTGTGGGATACCAGCACTTGCCCCTCTTGTAAGGCTGGTGCAGTTTCCATGTAGTTGCTTGTTCCAAGAGCAGATTTGATCCCAAGGAGCGGTGGTGGGTAGAGGATTTGCCTTGGCCTCACAGAAAGAACAGCTGGTGGTTTGCTGTGTTCCCAAATGAAATTTGTGGGGTGAAAGCAGGTACTGAGCAGGTGTCTTCTGTGGAAAGCATCTTGAGAAACTGAAAAATTCCAGTTTGATATTTTTTGGAAGAGTTTTTCTATTTCTTGAAATGTTTTATGGTATTTTGGGCCACTGACTGGCCCCTCTCCACCACGGTGGGACTATTTTTCTTGATCAAAACTCCTGATTTCCCTTTGGGCTGCTCCTTCTCAAGGTGTTGCCCGGAGCATGGCCTTCTCCTCAAACTGCAATGGCTTCCTGATGCAAAATGATGTTCTCTAGCTCTAGTAGAGAGAAGGACCTACATGTTTCTTGTGCAGCTGGTCCCGTGGAGCCACTAGAGAGGATGGTTCACAACCAGGAGAGATGTCTGTACCGGTGACAGATGTGGCTGGTGTTGGATGTACAGACCTTCCCAGTGTGATGGGACTCCAACCTCCACCTCCCTGGCTGGCAGGGCTGTGGCAGCTCAGCCATGTCCCTGATGCTGGCTCTGTGTCCTCCCCCCCTTGCCAGCTGAGGGAGGTCAGCAGGGAGCTGAGCGCTCCATGATGATGGAGACCTTGTGTTTGTTTTCCCGTCTCACTGGCGAGCTGTGCATCGCCTGAGGAGCAGCAGAGGAGCAACCAGCTGGTGGGACCCGCATGGTTGTGCTGAAGTAATGACAATTTCTGGCGTAGGAGCTCTGAGGAGCTCCTCTGTTACGTGCTCTGCCCCCAGAATGAGTAAATAAAAGCCTCCTCATTTATTTATGATGCAAATAGCAACTGTGCATTCAGCTCTAGGATTTGTTGATTATTTATTTAGAGCTTCTTGTCTCAGAGGCACTGGCTGTTTGCGTGCAGGAGGTATCTATCTGGGTTTATTACCCACAAACAGACATTTTGCTTCTTGGACTGTGGCTGCTAATGTCTTTGAAAGTCTGCTGTGGAAATGGAAATCCTTCCAAGGGAGAGACAGACCCCCTGGTCCTTCCTCCTCAGAGGCAACAGCAGCAGCTCATGATCCCACCAACCCCCTCTGAAGCTGCATGGATCCCCACTGCCATGGACCACTGAGCTCTTCTGGGCATGAAGGTTTCTACTGTGGTAGCACCACAGGGTGATGGCTAAAATCCAGTTGCTGCAGGTCCTTAGGCTCAAAAAGCTAAAGGGAAAATGGGCAGGAGATAGATACAGGCAGGCGTGGAAACAGGGAGGTGGTATTGGCCAAACTAGTGATGGCTGCTTGGGAGCCTCTTCTTCTCCCCCCCTCTACCTCCTGTGATGGGAGACAGTGTTACTGTGTGCCAGAAGCGTTGGGTTTGTCGTGTTCCACAGCCAGACACAAAAAGCAACTTTGTTGGCTTCCTGGAGACCTTGGGAGTAAATCGGTGTTCCCCTGTGACCAGATGTCTTTCAATGCTCCTTTTTCCCCTCAGGTTGGTGGGTGATCAAGTTTTGGCACTTGGCTTTAAGAAGTTACTGACACTGGTTTGATACATCCTTCTCAGGTGATCCTCTTGACTTTGACAGCTGATGGAGCACAAGTGCATCTGCAAGGGAGCACCTCATTTGTCATCTATGGCATGGACCAGACCTTAGCTCCAAAGCTTTCGTGAGTACAACCCTGGACAGCATTTTCAATGAGTGCAAGGACAAGGAGGGAAGGGCTCGTGCCAGCAGATGGATGAGCCCAGAAGGGTTAGAACAGAAAGAAATTGTGTCCATCCCTGCTGGTCACCATCACAGGACTCCAGGAGGAGAGGCACCAGTGCCACTATCTCATTATCCACCAAGTTATCGGTGATTTGGGGAGGTACTCAAATACCAAAGAAACCTAGAGATGCACAAATGGGGCCTTGGTGACTATCAGTGTCTCACCTGAAACACAAAATCAGCTGGACGGGAGGAGAGCTGGGCTGGGCAGGACACAGCCTGGGGCTGTTCTCTGCTGGTGGGGGCAATGCACAGCCAGAAACCCCTGCCGCAGAGCCGCCCCGGCCACCGCCGCTGGGGTGGGTTCTCCAGCCGCTTCGCTCCCTGGGCTTGGACTCCAGCCAGAGTGAGTCTCATCGAGGGGCTGGAACGAGGAGGGGGGTAACGAACTGTTTAGAGGGCCATGAATAGCAGCTTTCATCGGCTGTCATTTCCCATTACCACTGGCTCAACGTGGAAACGCAGTGCAGGGCCCTGGGAGGAGAGGTTCCCCTGCCTTCCGAGTCCCTGCCAGCTCCATCCACAGCCTCCTCAGGCTCCTTGGAGACAGAGCCTTTCAGCTTGAACCTGCTGAAGGGCTGGCTGAACCCACCGGGTGCAGGACAATAGCTCAACTCTCACTTGACAGCATGGAGAGGGGTGAGAAGTGACCAGGACCTTGCTGTGCCTGATGTGAGTTGATGTGGATGATGCACAAACACAAACCCTCGCAGGCGTGAAGGAGTTCTGCGACACTTAACCCCGGCACAAGGACCCCCAGAACGTGAATCTTCAAACAAGACCTTATGTATAGGGAGCCTTCTGCCAAAAGGTAGCAGAGAATTTGATGTAAAACCAGAAATATGCTTTGGTTGCCTTGGAATGCAATATCCTCTTGAGCTGGCGTGCGTATCGCTTCATGGAGATCAGCTGTCCACCAAAGCACCGATACCTCCCAAACTTGGCTGCGTTTCAGCGCTCGTGGGATGGAGTATAAAAAGAAAAAGGAGGATGATCGAGTGTCTCTGTTTCCAATTGACTGTGGTGCAAAGCACCTAAATCTGAGCCCGAGGATGGAGCTACACCCTGAGTGTGTGGACGGTTGTAGGAGTTCTTGGTGTGGTTTCTGGTCGGGGATGGGTGTGGTGGTGCTGGAAAGGAAGGCGAGCTCGGAAAAGGAGTTTCCAGCAGGGAGTTAGCTACATGAAACTGATAGTTTTCACACTGATAAATTGGAACTGGGATTAGGAAGGCAGAGCATAATTCTTACGCTCTGAAGCTCGTTCATTTGCTTAATTCTGGGCTTGGGTGGTTGGTACAGGAAAGGATGGTGGCCAAGGGCTGAGCGTGGAAATCCTCAAAACCTGTATCTGACAGAATTATTCACTTTTCTTGACTGAGCAGTGTGTGTGGCAGCTCTGAGCATGCAATATGATGGCTGGTGCTTGCTGGTGCCCAGAGATGCTGTGTGTGTGTGGGGAGAAGGGCTGGGAGGAAGGAGGGGGTGGAAAAGCCACGTTGCTCCAAGGCCAAGCTGGGGATGGAGCAGAGAAGGGGTGTGAGGGACAAATATCGCTTCTGCAGGAGCAAGCCTTATAGAAACAGCTGCTGCACTCCAGTTCCTCGGTGTCTCCCCACCTGCAGCTCCCTTGAACCTTCCCTTTCATCCCTTCAATCTTGCTTTCATTTGATTAATAAAAAACTTCTTCTCTCAGCAGAGATACTGGAGCACAGCCCACGGGGTGGGAGTGGAAGGAGGGAATAGCTGCAGCTTGGCTTCTCCTCTCTGACCACCAGCCAGCTCCCTATCTCGGGATGGATCCAGCAGCAGCGCGGGAGCTCGCATCCAAGAAGCCCCAGTGCTTTGCCAGGGCCACACAGGTAGCAAAGAGCCTTAGAGAAAGTCAAGTGCAACATCTGGGAGTCTTTTTTTTTTTTCTTTTTTTATTTTTTTTTTCCCCCGTTGCCTCCCCTGTATTTCAGAGCGCTCACTCTCTGGTGTGCAAGGAGAGCTTGCCAAAGCTGAAAATGCTCCAGTCTCCCACACGAACACCCCTGCGTGTCTGTCTAGGGAAGCTGCATCAGAGGACAACCGCTGTATTCTGAAGGAGTACGTTGCCTGTGAGACCCTGAGGTCCTTTGTAGGAGAACAAGTAGTTGGCTGTTCTCCTTGGCTCTTTGGTCAGGCTTGGTGTTGCCGCCCAAGGGCACAACAGGTTGGGGATGACCACTTTGGAGAGCTTGTCCTTCTTTCTCCTGCCTTCTTCTGCATCTTCCCCTAAGAGTCTAAAACCTCAGCTAGTAGGTAAAGGAAGAGGAGCCAAAATGCTTCTCTGAGAAGGCAATGGATCCCGTCAGGGGGGAGCTGCTCCCCTCACCTTGCCATTCATCAGTGATGCCCCACAGAGTGCCAATTAATTTGCTTTCCCATCTACATCCTGGATGGTCTCAGTAGACAGCTTTGGAAGGGGTGGGAATCTGCCCTCCTGCTGTCCTGCTTCACCTGGCTCTAGTGGAAACAGTCAGTGTGGCTAAAGGGCTGAACAGTCTTAACTACTTATTTTTGGTGGTTTTTCCTGGTGTGTGTACAAGCTACCAAGGGCCTTGTAGGGATGGAGACCAGACCCCTGGATTGAGCCAGTCTTTTTTCAGTGGTGCCCAGGGTCCTGGATTGGGGCAGTCTATTTTCAGTGGTGCCCAGGGACAGGACAAGAGGAAACAGGCACAAACTTGAATATAAGAAGTTCCATCTAAACATGAGGAGGAACTTCTTTACTTTGAAGGTGGCAGAGCCCTGGAAGAGGCTGCCCAGAGAGGTGGTGGAGTCTCCTTCTCTGGAGACATTCAAAACCCCCCTGGACACGTTCCTGTGGGACCTGCTCTGGGTGACCCTGCTCTGGCAGGGGGTTGGACTAGATGATCTCCAGAGGTCCCTTCCAACCCCAAGTGATTCTGTGAGACAAGCAGGATCCTTCCTGGTAGCCAGTGCTCAGGCAGGGAAGCAGGATGCTGCTGGGAAGCAAATGGGAAAAGGGAGCCCATGGGACAGGAAGGAAGAAGACAAAGCAGGCTTGAGATCTGGAGCACGTTCAGGGCAACAGAGTTGGCCGTGGTGGTTGAGGATAGATGGGTTGGCTTCCTGAGTCCATAGAGCCCCATTCCCAAAACTGGGCATTTTGGGGCATTTTTACCCCTTACGTAGCAGTGAAAAATGATTTAGTTCCCACTTGTTCTGTGTTGGAAACCGTGTACCTTAATAGGAGCCACAAGAAGGGGTGGCCATTGGAGAAGGCCATCTCCAAGCCATTGGAGAAGGGGTTTATTTTCTTGTCCAAAGGCTGGTCTGCTGATAAAAGTGGTGGTTGAACCTTCCTTAGTCTGGCAGGGAAGGGAAGGGGCTGCCTCTATCCGGATGCTGCACCATCTGGTGTTTGCATTTCTTACCCTTCCTGGTCTTACTTTGCTTTATTTATCCTGGCCTTTGGTGGCTGTACTTAGGAATGGTTACAGAGGTGACTTCACAATTTTTAAAAGTTCAGATCTGCAAATAGTTTCATGAATGCAATCACAAATAAGAATTTGGTGATTGCAAACTGTTCACAATAAATTCTGATTCAAGAAACCCTCAGATCTGATGCATTTTCAGAGGAGCAGTGAAACATCCAAAATGCACCCAGTGAAGTTTGTCATTAGCTATTTTCTCCTTTTTTTCTTCCTGAGATGTGTCTTATCCAGCCTGGGAATGGGAGTACTGCCGTGTAACTTGACTGAGTGATCACTGATACCAACAAATAGCTTAAAGAGATAATTTCCTAACAACAGAGCTAGCAAATGATGTTCCTGTGAGCCATCCAGCTGAGGGAGAGTGACAGAAGTGAAAAAAAATTATTTCAGGAATTAATTGTGAGCAGAGAAGGAGTCCAGTGTCGGTGGCGCAGGAAACACATAAGAAAAGGGGCATAAAAAAAATCCTACAGGAAAATATAATTTAAACTACCACAGAAGACATGCAAATGCAGACGTTTGCTCAGTGAGGGGCCTCTGGATTTTTCCTAATGAAGTCTAATGCAAAGAGGAAATTAAAGAACTCTGTTTTCCAGTCTGCCCAGTTGCGGAGCGTCTGCGCGGGGGCGGGTGCCAGGGGGGGAGGCTGCGGGGTCGCTGCCGGGGAAGGACCGGGACGAGGAGCAGAGCTCCTGCCCTCCCCCTGGCAAACGGGACCTGTCAGCAATTCCTATTTTTGACAGGGCATTCTCGTTTGGTTCGGCAAAAGCAAACAACTAATTCGACAAAACACAAACTTTAAGGAGGAGGAGATCAGCCTGGATAAATTTCTTGACCCAGTGGTTTTGTTTTTTCTTCTTTTCAAAGGGTCTTCCAAGATCATCCAGTATCTGAGACCGCTTCTTTTTTGAAATAGAAACATCCGGTTTTCTAGTCCATAATACTTTTCATTTTGAATTGTAAGCTGAGTATAGCATGAATGGGGCTTCTTTGCTGAAGTTTTGGGAGAATTGAAACCAAATGTTTAAAAATTATCTATCCAAAACGCTTGGCTTGACTGAACTCAAAACGATTGTTGTTTTTTTTAAACTATAAACAATATTGAAATTCTGACTGTTTATCCCCATCTGACTTGAGAATTGTTTACAATTTTTAGACATTTTTCAGGAACTAAAAACCTGTTCCTCATGTATATTTATGCTGGCAGCTGCTCTCTGAAGGACAGCTCAGCTCCTCGAAAAGTAGAAGCATATGACAATTTTCTCTTTAGTAAAGCTGGTAAAATATAGGGTGTCAAACTGGGATGAATTTCCCCGGCCAGTTTGGCTGGCTGGGAGGGCTGCTCTGTGGCATTTCCCTTTGGAGCTCTGGTGCTGAGGGTCCAACGTGCAGCATGAGCTCCATGTTCTCCCCATGCTCTCCCCACGAGCTCCCCAGCTCTGGGATGTGCTGTGGCTGAGAGGGGTTCAGGGGTTCAACCACAGCTCCAGTTTGACAGTGGTGGGATCCACACCTGGGGTGTGGGATCCTGTGGCCAGGACTGGGCTGCAGCTGGAGAGCAGTCAGCTCTTCCATTGATCATCTTTTCTGAGACAGTGAAAGCCCAGATTTGGTCCTGATGGCAGATGCGATGAGTGATGGACACGGGCAGCCCATCACTGCACCAGCAGCATCTCCCAGATGTTCCTTACATGAGTGTCTGCTCCAGATGTCACGGCTTGTGCCTGTGGGGTCAGTGCCGACCAGGGAGAGCTCATCTGGCACCTCTTGCTCACCAGGACACACAGAATCACAGAATCTTCTAGGTTGGAAGGGACCTTAAAGATCATCTTGTCCAACAGTCAACCTAACTGACAAAAATAGACACCCCCACAACAAACAAAAAGCAACACCATCACTAAACCATACCTCCCAGCACTATATCAACCCGTCTTTTGAACACCTCCAGGGATGGGGCCTCAACCACCTCCCTGGGCAGCCCATTCCAATGGCTGAGAACCCTTTCAGTGAAAAAATTTTTCCTAATATCCAGCCTGAACCTCCCCTGGTGTAACTTGAGGCCATTTCCTCTCGTCCTGTCACCTGTGACTTGGGAGAAGAGACCGACCCCCACCTCTCTACACCCTCCTTTCAGGGAGTTGTAGAGAGCAATAAGGTCGCCCCTCAGCCTCCTCTTCTCCAGGCTGAATAACCCCAGCTCCCTCAGCCTCTCCTCATAAGACTTATTCTCCAGACCCCTCACCATCTTTGTCGCCCTTCTCTGGACCCGCTCCAGCACCTCAATGTCTTTTTTATGGTAGGGGGCCCAAAACTGGACACAGTACTCAAGGTGAGGCCTCACCAGTGCCGAGTACAGGGGGACAATCACCTCTCGGGGATTATGTATATTGTCCCACACAGGGACAATATCCAATTTAAACGGGCAGAGGTGGTCATGTCCTGAGCCCCAGCCCTGCCGTACAAGTATCCATACAAATCATTTATTTATTTAACCTTGAATCTTCTGATTGTGGAATATGGAGGAGTTTGGTCTCAGGCCAATGCTGGGTTGGAGTGACGGGGAACCACAGCAAGTTGTTTTTTTAAATCACAGCGTAGGGCTAAAAACACATCTGGGTAGGACGTGCCCCTGAACTGGGGTCCTTGGACTGTGGCTTCGCTTTGGCCAACAGCCGGTGTCTGAGCTGAGCAGACATCCTCTTCTGGCCAGAATGAAAAAAAAAAAGTAGGAAATGGCTCCTGGCCATCCAGCAAATCCTGGGATGCTCCAAGCCGACAGCGTGCTTGGAGGGCGCCGGCTGGATACTCTGCCTCCAGCAGCCCCATGCCTCGCTGGAACCTGCCCCAAGCACCAACCCTTCTGCTCTTCCCCAAGCCGTGGCTCCCGGGAAGCTGCTGAGACCATTCTGCACCAGCAGAACCCTGGTGAGCTACAGCCAAGGCAGGTCATTAGATTCCTGAATGCATTTGCCCTGTCAATATGATGCATTCGGCTTCTTTCCTCTGTGCTCTTAAACCTGTCCCTTCTCTGGAGGATTTTCTTCACGCCATCGCCATCTCTTCTGTGCCCAGCCGTGGGGGGTCTCCAGCAGTGAGCAGTATAGAAAATCTATTGATTCTGTTCCATAAGCCCTGTGCAAGGGAAGGTAAGTGCTCCCCAGCCAATACCTCTCAGTCGTTTCCTTTAGATGTTGCTCACATGCCCTAAATCACAGCTGCTGGTGAAAGAACAAAAGAAATGAGCTGGAGAAATCGTGGCCGAGCAGGTCTAATCCTGTCTACAGCATCACCCTTGCCCCGGCGTTCATGGAGGAACTCGGGGAGGCCAGATGCTGGTGTGTCTGTGAAGAAGGACCCTCCGGCCCCAGGACTGCTCC